TTCTTTATCAACCTCAACCTTTTTTTTTCGTTACCCTTAGGATCCTGCAAAAATAAAAGAAAATACTTTGTCTCGTTCTCTCATTTTGCCTAGGTGCCCTTTTGGGTTTTCATCCCAGCTTCCCACATTTTTCTGTTTTAATCCTCACAACTCACTCTTATTTTTGCTTTATTTTTTGCTTAAGTTGTCCTTTCGGGTTTTCAACTTAACAAGCTTTTATTTTTTTTTCATGAATAAAGGTATGAATATGAGTATTCCATTAAACTCTCCCCCCAAGCTAATCAAAGCACTGTCCCTAGTGCTTGTGTCTGAGATGATTTTTTTTTTCTTTTTGGTTAGTTTTTTGGGAGGTTTTGTTGGTGATTCGTGGGTGTGGAGATGAAAAGGGTGAAGAGGTGATGAAAGAAATGGGTTTAATTGGTGGATGGATGTAGGAGATATGAAGCTTTTAACTTTTGGAAATGGGGGAAATTTGGGGTGTGGTTTGAATGGGAAGAAAAGAAAATGAGGAAGAGGTGAGCCCGACTTGGTATAGGTCTGTTCACCCGTTCGCCCGGTCGGGTGAGGTATTTTACCTGGTCGGGCGTAAGCTGTTCACCGGAGCCTGAGGCTTTTTGTTGGATTGCCCGGCCGGGTATGGGGGTCTACCCGGTCGGGTGTAAACTGTTCACCTGAGGCAGAAAGTGTTTGCTGGGTTGCCCGACCGGGTATGGGGGTCTACCCGGTCGGGTGTTTGATTTATTCTTGTTCTGCTCTTGCCTCGCCCGGGTGGTTGGCCGGGCGTTTTGTTTTTAGAGGTGACCTGACCGGGTGGGGTTTTATACCCGGCCGGGTTCAATCCCAGGTCTTTTTTTTTTTGAAATGTGTAAAAATAAAATAAAACAAGTAAACGTATCTTGCTTAGGTTGCCTCCCAAGAAGCGCCTTAGTTAACGTCGCGGCATGACGCCATGGTTGTGTTCAATTGTTCAAGCTTGGATCGTGAAAACTCATCTTCTTCAAATTTTCACCCGGGTGACTCTTATAGAAAGACTCAGTTTTTCGACCCTTTATTTTGACCTTTCCAGGATCAAATATCCAGATTTCTATCGCTTCATATTGTGAGAGTGTTGGTCCATGATTTTCATTAAGCATGGTCAATGGAAGGGGTTTTGATCCGGGTGGTATAAGAGGGAGTATGAAATATTTGTGTAATCCCACCGTTATTCCTTGCTTATTTGTTAACAAAGAGAAGTCTAAATTATACTCACAATTGCTGAAGATTTCATAGATATCTTTGTCCTTCTTCACCCTTTGTGTTTCCCTTAGAGCCTCGGGAAATGGTGGCATGATCTCAGGAATGGCTGGTGGTTGAGTTGAGTTTTGAGGTTCCTCCTCCGGTTGAGCTTTCTCCGTAAGCTCCTCTTCTTCCTCCTCCTCACCAATGTGGTTCACAGTGCTTGGCATTTGTTTCAACTGATTGTCCAATTTCTGTTCGTTTGACACTGCTTCTTGCGAGCATTGTGACATATTTTGTTGCATATTTGTCACATTGATAGTGAGAGCTCGGATCATGTCTTCAGTGGACATGCTGGAATAAGAACATGAGTATGGGCTATATGTGTTGGAGATTGAATCATACCTCTCTTGGAAACCAACACCATTCCTTTGTTCAAAGAATTCTTCTCGAAGCTCTGAGCAAAAATCCGTAAGATGCCTTTGTGACATGCAAATGTTGCATGTATGGACATCTTGAGATTTTGAACATGAGATAAACTCCTTTATTAGAGAAGTCAAGTCGGAAATTTGACTCTCTAGGGATGATGTGTTGGTATCCATTTACTCATGCAAGCTCAGAAAATAGAAAAGTAAGATTTTTTTATTTTATTTTATTTTTGGTTTTTTATTTTTATGAGATAAAATAAAAAGAAAAATAATTGTCTTTCCCCGGCAATGGCGCCAAATTTGATGAGCACTTGTCGTGAGGTGCACTCAAAATAATTTTCAATACTAAACACTTATATGTAGTATAGCGTAGTAGAGTTCGTATCCACAGAGAAAGGAATAATTCTCTTTTTATGATACTTAGTGAATAAAAGGGGAGATTTGGATTGAGTGATTTAATTTAATTAAGAACTAAGATGAACAACCTGTATGTGTTTAATTCAAAGATAAAAAGGACTTGGCATTCCTACTTTCCACTTGTTGATATATTTTAGTCGATCATTGTTATATCTATAACTTATTCCCTCTCGAATACTCAATCGGGGAGTATATCCACTTCATCGAGGGTAGGTATTAACAACAACCGTTCATTAATAACCCTTACTATTAATCAAATATAGAACAACGCCTTATACCGATTTAATAGTAGCATTTAATCTTTCTAACTCCTTGATGAAATCAATTGAGATTGATAACCTCAACACAACGGTTTCGGTTTAACCAACAAAATTAATCCCTCTTAAGTTTATTAACAACGACCGTGCATTAATAAACCGAAGTAACTTACTTGTGAAACCATCAACGATTAACCATCGATTCGTTGATCGTTTCTAGTAATAATTAATATATGAAACAAAACTAGTTGATCCTTTAAGTAATGTTCAAAATATTAATATGAAATGAGTAGGGATTAATTAATATTCAAGGAAGAATATAATAAAGAAGATGAATCCTACTATAATTAATATCAAGATGTTAACTAATTGTCATCTTAGCAACACTCCCCAACATTAATATAGAGGAAGAAAATATTATGCAAACGATGTGAAACTCCGAGAGGTGTTTGTTCGGATCTTCTCCTCTCAGGCCAGGGAAGGATGGCAGCAGATGAATGAGCCCAGATTTTAGCTCAAACGTATTACCCTCATCAAAAGTAGGGAAGGTAATACATAACGGTTGTTGGTTCAAGTTTGGAGCTGTGAGCTCCCTCAGTGTTCTTGTTTCAAGAGCCATGTGAAAGGACTCTTCAGATTCGCTAGAACTCGAGCTAGCAGTGGATGAATCTCTGGTAGATGATTCCTCCGAGTCGGTGTTTAATAATTTACTTTTCAACCGCTCGAAAGTTTGTTCTATTTCCGAGTTTTTGTGATATGTGATTTCGTTTATGGAACGATGTTTACCATATACTTCACTATGCTCAGAAATAGAAGAATGAGAACTCTGTATATTTTGTTTATTATTATTATTTATTTTTATTTTTTAACTTTTCTTGAAATGAAATAAAAGAAAAATTATTGCCTTTCCCCGGCAACGGCGCCAAATTTGACGTGCACTTGTCGTGAGGTGCACTCAAAATAAATACAATACAATGAATATACGTAGTATAACGAAGTAAGGTTCGTATCCACAGGGAAAGGAATATTTTTCTTTTATATAATTAGTAACAAAGGGGGGTTTTGATTGTTGTTGAATTTGAAGTAAATTTAAACACTAAGATGAACGACTTATGTGGTTTAATTAATAGAGATGAGGACTTGGTTGTGCTTTTATTCACTTAATGAAATGTTCGTCGATCCCGGTTATATCTTTAACTATCTTCCTCTCGAATACTCAATTGAGGAGTATATCCAGTTCATCAAGGGTAGTTATTAATAACGAGATGCGTTCATTAATAAAACTTACTATCGAGTCAATATAGAACAAGCGTCGTATATTAATTCGATAGTAGCAATAAGCTTAAGATGAAAACGATTGAGATTGATAACCTCAACACAAGCGGTTTATTGGTTTAATCAATATAATTAATCCCCCTTGGTTTATTAACCATGAGATGCATGCATTAACAATCCAAGTTTACTACCTTTGAAGGAACCGGATTAATAACAAGCGTATTAACCGATTGATTCTAGTAATAATTAATACTATCCTCCATATCTCATTAATTGCAACATTGGAATATATACACTATTCATGTACTTTACTTTGACTTCATTTTATTTATTAATGTATGTGAATTTTTTTTTTGAAAAATGTTGTTAAATTCGTCTCATTACTAAATTTTATAATCTGATTTTTATTTTATTTTTACTAATACAGAATTAAATATAATGACGGTCAAAGTTGTGCGTTGGCAAACATGAAATGTTGACTGTTGCAACTAAAAAGAGACGGAGGAAGTAGATGAGGCAAGACTAGTTGATCTTTAAAGTAATGTTCAAAATATTAATATGGAATATGAATAGGAAGTAATTAATATTCAAGGAAAAAGGTTAAAGAAAATAACTCACAACTTACAAATCATTAAGCTTCAAAGTAGCAAAACCAAGATGGAAGAGTTTAGCTCCTCATTTGGAGACTAAACATGAAGAAAATATAAAGAAAGAACTATTCTAGACTGAGCTTAGAAGTATGTAGGAATTGGATATCTCATTGTGAAGGAAAGGGGGTGTATTTATAGGCTCTTGGGATGCAGCTCGAGTACCTGATCGGGTATGTGTAAAACGTCAACTTCGAAGCATACTTGATCGATTCTGGCTATATTTTATATGTATACCCGATCGGGTGTGCTTTTATACCCGATCGAGTATGTTTAGAAAATGATATTCGAGCTATACTCCACCGAATTCGGGGTTTAAACTCAAAGGTATATCCGATCGGGTATGTCGGTCTACCCGATCGGGTATAGACACTCGATCGTGGTCAAAATCTTCCCTGCACGTTCCTTTGTCTTCGGATCCGATCCGATTTGAAGTTTCAACGAGATACCCGATCGAGTATAGATGATACCCGACCGGGTATAAGCCAAAAATTAGGATCCTTATTTTGTCTTGAGATTATGCACCTTTTTTTCCATTTTTTGGGGTTCACCAACTGTCCTTTGAGTGATCAAGACCTGTTTGAGCTCAGAATGAACCTAATCTAAACAATTTACAAGAATTTAACAAACTAAACTATTACACCAAAAGTGTGTAATTTCCAATGTAAAAATCAATCAAAACTAATAAAAAAAATACAAACATACACATGAAAATTACATGATTATCAACCTACATATTTTTTATGTTTATTTAGTTAGCTGAAATTTATGCTCCTTCCATTCAGTTAAATTTTGTTATGTTTGATGGATACATGAATAAGAAAGTAAATGTTATGTATCTATATTTGTGCAGAGGATAACGAAATAATAAGAATCACAAATTAATTATTCAAATGTCAAATATTTTGATCAAATAAGAAAAAGAAACTCTGCAAAGGTTAAAAAAGTGTACAATACAAAATAAGCTTTAGGGAAAATCAAGGAAAAATTACCGTCATCTTCCACCACTCAATGACCTAGAAAATAGCTCCATGCTGTCTCCATCACTCGTTTTACCACCACTGGTGAACAAATCTCTCACATTATTAATTGCGTGAGAAGATGCAGATGGTGAAAGATACTCTGTCTCTATTGAAGATATTTCTTTTTCCCGTGATTCTTCCCCATGGTGCCTCTCAAGAACTATCAATCCCTCGATCTCCATTGCCACTTCTTTCATAGTCGGCCTATCATCCCTCCTCACCTTCAAACACCGGCTCGCAATCTTTGCCACTCCCATACATTGCTCAAAGTTTACATCGTTAACTATCCGATTATCCACAATTTGTGACAACCGACCATTGTTCAGAGAAGAAACAAAATAAGCCCCTAGATTCCTATCATCCTCTGCCCTAGTAGGTGAAATTGCCTTCTCTCCTGTTAAAAGCTCTGCGAGAACAACCCCGAAGCTATAAACATCGCTTTTATCTGTCAATTGGCCTGTGTGGAAGTATTCTGGATCAAGATATCCGAATGTTCCTTGCACTAAAGTTGTGACTTGAGTTCGTTCAAGAGGGACAAGCCTTGAAGCTCCAAAGTCACCAACTTTTGCAGTAAGCCTATCATCTAATAGTATATTCGCTGTCTTTACATCTCTGTGAATGATTGGGGGAGAAGCGGCAGAGTGTAAATATGATAGTGCTCCTGCAGATTCTGATGCCACTCTTAATCGGGCTGCCCATGAAAGATTAGACGATTGGGCATGTGTGTGGAGATGCTCATAGAGAGTGCCATTGGTTATAAACTCATAGACTAGTAATGGAACTTCTGTCTCTAAACAGCAGCCGAAGAGCTTGACAACATTTCTATGGTTGATTTGTGATAGAACAACGATCTCATTGATGAATTGTTCAACTTGACTTTTCTCACAAATCTTGGACCTTTTTATGGCTATAGCTCCTCTATCATCTAATACTCCTTTGTATACGGTTCCATATCCTCCTTGACCTAAGATAGTTTTTTCATCAAAATTGTTGGTGGCTTTCTCCATATCTTCTAGTGTGAAGATTTTCATACTTGCATCACTTGGTCCACCTTTTCCAGCTATTTGTTGTTGCAACAATATGCCACCATTTTGATGGAAAAATTGCTCTCGGAGTCTGATAAGCCTCCTTTTCCTTGATCCCCGGTATATGAAGAAGCTTACTACAAGCAATGCTATGACACCAATACATACACCTGTGTTTCATAAGTTGAAGTACATGCTATAATAAATTTATAGACTTCTTTTTTAATACTACGAACTACCTCCACTCTTTTGTTAATTAACCTTAGTTTTCGTGGTCCCAAAAACTTTGCTTTTCTTTTAAAGTTTCTAATTTGTGTGTATTGTTATTTGTCTCTTCAACATGACGTGAAACTATATAATATACCTATCCGCCCTTAAATCTACTCAGTGTACATTTTAAGAAAGTCAGTCATTTTAAGAAAATAATGATCCGTATAATTTGAATGTTTTCCATCAAAATTAAAGCATTTGAAAAAACAAACAGATAGAAGAGCAGGCAAAGTTGAGATTCGGAATGTTTTTAGTACATACGGTGAATGATTTTCCATAAGAGAAAGACAGAGAGTGGGCGGAACCCGTCCAAGAATAAGAAGGAAAGGGCCCTTTCGGATTCGAAATGGAAAATTTGGTCGGCGAAGGCAGGGAGAAACAGCGGGGAGCAACAGCCGCTGACAAAGTTGTTTCCATGGGAAATTTTCTGTTCTCAGTCTATAGCAGCAGAATTCTCGGACGGTGCATGTTGACCTCATGGGAATTTTCATAAGAATACCATTCTTATGGCACTCATATTATCAAAATGCCCTTTTTTGTTTAAAATAATAAAAACATCTGAAATTACAAAATAACTTTTTGCTAAAAGCTAGAGTTTGAACACTCCTTTTGAACTCTTCATTCAAAGATACAGGAGACATCATCGCTCTCTTCATTCTCTCTTCCTAATTACTCCTTTTAAAGTCAGTCATTTTAAATCTACTAATTTTACTAATTACTCAAAATATTCTTTTCATGGAAGATCTAAAAAAGAGAGTGTTAATGAGAAATAGTACGTTTTATTTTTTTGTGAACCTTTGGAACATTGAAGAATTGATTTTAATGAGAAAAAAATTGAAAATAATAATTATAACTATTGCTGAATATATGGCTCGTCCGTCAATAGTGGTCCATGATCGAGTACAACCTGATACAAAATGTCACTTCAAAATAGAAATTAACTTTTTTCTGAAATCAAAAATGAAAAATTTTCTATATATATATATATATATATATATATATATATATATATAGTGGTCCATGAAAACCTAGACTTTTTAGTGGTCCATGAAAACCTAGACTTCTAAAATTTGTTTCAAATTCCAAAAACTAGAATTTTTTAGACGATGTAGAAAATTTTGTTTCAAATTCCAAAAACTAGTAATATGAAAATTTAACTAAATCTGAAAGTGTATTGCGTATACAAAAATTAAATTTTATATGATATTTTTATTTTCATAAAAAATCGTTTTCAATTTTTGATAAATAATTTTTTTTTGGTTTCTTTACAAATTCATGTTGTTGTATTGATTTTTAACTAAATTAAAAATGATTTAATATTTTAGGATGATTAGATTTGGAACTTTTTAATATTTTGAAAAATTATCATTTTTAATATTTTTGGACTTTCCTAATTTTAAAAGTCTAGGTTTTTATTTTTAAAATTTGAATTTGTATCTAATTTGCACTTACTTTTTTCCTTTAAGGATTTTAGATGGACCTTTTTTACTATATTTATATATTTTATTATATTCTTTACATTCTTTACATATTTATAATATCTTACATATTCCAAAGTATAAAATCCGAATTTTGAAATTCATATTTTATATTCTTTAATTCCACAAACTAGCTAAAAAGGTCAATTACAGTAAAAATAAATATCTATAATCATGTTTTACCATTTATTTATTTGTTTATGTAAATTTTGATTTGGTATAATAAAAGTGGACAGATGATAATTATTCAAATTAAATGAAAAGAGAGATCACTTACTCAAACCAATGATTAGCTCAGTATTACCGCTACTAGGTTTACGGATGCAATGGCTCTCTCCATTTTTCTTCACATGACTTTCATATCCATTTCGGCAGCTACAACGCGTTCCGTTTTTTTCCCCATTTCCTTCATGTCCTTTTGGGCATTGACAAGTGTAGCTACCATTAGTGTCAACGCATATTGCTTCTGGAACGCAAGGGTTATCAGTAATGCACTCGTTTATATCTGTAAGAAGTGGAGCATAAGTTAATAATTGTAGGATTCTTCCAACAAATAAAAATGGTAAGAAGATATGGAGAAGATGGAAGCACTACGTCTTGTGTCCAAACCAGCCCCATAAATAGTGTGTTCTATTGTTGTTCATATCATCAATTTAGAAAGTGAGAAAAGTGTGTGAAGAGTGAAATACCACTTAGTGTAGAAGTGTATTAGTAAGGATTGATTTTTTGTAATAGTTGAGTGTGAGAGTTTGCTCCTCCTATTGTAATTTTGTTCTTGATATTGAATAGAAGAATTTTCCAATCCCAACAAGTGGTATCAAAGAGAGGTTGAGTTTTCATACACTTTTTTCTCATGTTTTCAGAAAAATTTATACAGGTTAGAAAATCGGAAAATTTAAAAAACTTTTAAAATAGTACAAAAGCTAAAAAGTACGAACTTATACCTGCCAAACGTGCATATATTAAAGAGCTAGACAATTAAGTGATTGGCACTATTAATGTAAGTTTAAATAAAAGTTACTACGTATGTCATACCATTCATATTTTATGTCAAAAGTAACTCTTTTAAAAAATCTACTCAGTATCAGTTATTTCAAAATTAAACTTAATGAACAAACTACACTACCGCTAATTTATACAGAGTACTTTGATTTCATATGTTTGACGATTAGGTTATACTAGACAAATGACCCGTGCGATGCACGGGATATATCTAGAGTGTAGGATAGTAACTTGATTAATATTACATTGTATTGCAATAGATATAATTTAACTATAATGACATGTACATGAATATCTTTCTCCCACATTGCACTTAACGATTTTTTCCCTCGATGTGATCAAGGGCAATTTTCCTTCCAATAATAGTAATCATTCGGTCACTTTATATCTTATGTAGATGAAAATAGAGATACATTTACAAAGTATTATTAATTCTATACGTCAAAAGTATAAGCGTTAATTTTTACTAAACATTATACTCATGTTTTAATAAAAGTATTTGCTCACATGCTAGTATTGTTCTTTTTGTATTTCGGAGCTTCCTTAGGATGTTTTTACATGGAACGAAAAATTCTAGTCTTGTATGGTTTGGTTATTATGATCTAATCTGGTCTAATTTTTTTGATCTGGTCTAATCTCATCTGGTCTTGTTGAGTCTTAACTGATCCCGTCTGATAGATGTTTGATCTATGTGTTTACAACTGTCGAGGTCTGATCTAATTTGGTCTATTTGAGTCTAATCTTGTCTAGTTTGTTTAAGTCTGATTTGATCTGAATGTAAAATAAATTAAATTAAAAACATGCGTATTCATCCCCCGGCTATGACTTTAGGTAAAAATGAATCCCTAAAAACATTTCGATTTACTTGTTTATCAGTAATTACCGATGCTAATTAATATCTATATATTTTCTACCATAAAAAAAATTATACATTTTCTCAATAAATAAGAAAAATGATAGGGTGATGTGCATGTTTTTCTCTGTATATCTTCTTTTATATCATGTACGATGAAAAAAAATAGTGCCATTGATAAAAGATATAACTTTTTCTTCATTTTATTAGTGAAAAAAACTAAATATAATTTTTCCATAATTCAACTCACTCGGCTGTTTTGGTCAAAACTTCAACAATTTCGACAGATTCAGCTAAATTAGCCAATTAAGTGTCATCTAATGGCCCTAAATATGATACTATTGCTTAAATGGACAGTTATTACTCATTCTTAGGGGGTAAAAACATGACAGTCTTGTATATTTTTACATTCCAAAACATATTTACTTCTATTTCAGGATTTTCGGTACTTATAATAGTGAAAATTTTGAAATTGTAGCTATTCTGACTAATTATATATGGAGTTATTTAGTATAGTTATTAATTAATGTATACTAAAATAACATTGAACAGTATTGGTTGTTACATTTATTTACATCTTTAATGTAAACACCATATTTTCACCAACTTTGAATACCGTTTGAATATGTGTTTTTAGGCTTATATATCAGTCTTATCAACCAATCTTTTGACCAAACATGCATGTAACTTTTGGTTTTGCGCGTTGAATTATTTAATAATTAAAATAAAAATGAATACAATACATGTTTGTCTTACCATATTTTCATTCTTTCACTTCGTTCAGCATTATGTAACTTTCGGTTTAGCACGTTGATGCATCTATTTAATATATTTTCTATTTTGTAAATATTACATTGTATATATATACATATACACACACATATACATATATATATGTGTGTGTGTAATTCTTTTCATTGTGTTCTTTTATTTTTTTATCATGTATTTTCGGTGGTATGCCCCGGAGAGGTTTTGCCCTAGTCCCTCTCTTTTGTATTTATTTCTCTTTTTGAATAAAATCTGGCAAATGTTCCCCGACATTTGTCTCATTGATTTTGGTGGTTTGCCTTCCGAGTTAAAAAAAATATGGGTGCAGATCCAATAAAAAACGTGAAAATTGCAATCACTTCTTTCACAATGTGATGCATTATTGGATTCCTATGTTGCACTTCTTCAAATTGTCAGAATACTTTGACTTATTTATGAAAATGTCACGACATTTTTTTATTTAGCATGGGTTTGATCGAAGCTAAAAAACTGCAATAGATCATCCTTAAAGTACATCACATTGGGGAATTAGTGAACGAGTTTAAGTTTTCATATTAAGATTGGTTTTTATATGATTCGAAACATATACGGAAATGAGCATGAGTTATATAACTTATAACGCTCAAATTGTTTTTTTTACTCAGCCATACACATATGAGTTATATGACACACATGTATATAACGCTCAAATTAGTTTTGTTTCTTTCCAAAAATAATTTATGAAATATATATGAGTGCATGCCCGCATACGGGATATTATTGTCTAACAATGCTCCTTGCTATAGTTTCATAAGGACAGGCAATAAATGCTCCATCTTAATTCTTACCATATATTCATTCTTATTCTTTCAATGATGCACCTTAGTACAATTATTACCAAATTTGTTTTTTTCATTAATTTCCCATTTTGCCCTTATTTTGGGCGGGATTTTCCCCTCCAAAAATCATGATTTTTGAAGTTGCTCATAATCACGATCTGATCATACCATTGGATTCGTCTCGTCGAGAGTAGAAAACTGGTATTTTTGGGGAATTTTTTGGCCGCCGGAAGAAACCGTACGCGCCGTCGATCGCCGGAGAGTGGGGTCACTCTCGGTTAGGCCTGTCAATGGGTTGAGTCCGGGTCGGAACGTAGTGTTCCAGACCCGGACCCGCTAAGTTAATAATGGACCCGGACCCGACCCGTTTACCCGACGGGTCTGAAAATTTGGACCCGGACCCAGACCCAACGGGTCTCAGAATTGGGTCGGGTAGACCCACCCGCCAAGTAAGATACGCACACCATTGTAAACTTTGTGAAAATATCAAGACATGTATGTGAAATATACAGCAAAGTGTACAAATTTAAAAGGAAAATATATCTTCACTTTTCAAAAAATCAAGGTCTCTCATAGAAAATTAGTACTTGTATCTAATAAAGTATTGGTTCTTGTACATGTATATAGCTCCACACTTTGAGCCACTTTCTCTCGCACAAAAAACTCGTAGAATAAACTAGAAATTAAGTCATAAAAAAGTCTCTTGGACTACTAAAAGTATAAAATCATACATAGTATGTAGTATTATATATGATAATGATATAATAATATTAATAATGGTAGTAATAAATATTAATTTTAGGGTATCTTACTATCTTGATCAGTATCACTTATATAGTATTTATGTATTAATGTGTATATTTTTATTGAATAATCACAAATTCACAACTAATAACTTTATGTATTATTATGTATATATGTATATTACTTACTATTTTATTTAAAGTGTTATAACTAATCACTTTATGTTTGAGTGTATGTGTATACAAATAAGAAATTTTAAACGGGTTCGGGTCCTTAATGGGTCGGAATCATATGTACCATACCCGACCCGTTTATTTAAAATACTAACGGGTCCGGATCCAAGTCCGGGTAAACGGAATAAAATATAGACATGTACCCATTAAAAACAACCGGGTCCGGGTCGAGTTCGGGTCTAGACCTGACCCATTGACAGGCCTACTCTCGGTCACGCACCGTACACACCAGCCAGAGGAAGAAGACGACCAGTCAGCCGCCACGTCATCTCCAGGTCAGCCGCCACGTCGCACCATGTTGGCGCCATGTGGCGCTGAGTCAGCCGCCACGTCATCACCACGTTGGACCACGTTAGCGCACGTCATCCGACACGTGGTGCCACGTCAGCGCCAGCGCAGAGCCAGCTTTTGCCACATCATCCGCCTGTTGGTCTGCACATTGGGCTACTGCCTGAACCGGACCGAACCGGTTCATATTTGTGGAGACCGGTTCAACACCTTCCAGACCGGTTTTGGACGAAGTCAGACCGTTTCCTACTATTTTCGACTATTCCGGATTCAACGGTGAGCTCCGTCTTTTCAAATTCAACTTCAAAAATAAGGTACGAGATATATTGAGAGTTTTATTATGGATAAATCATCATCGGACACCATGATTGCACTCACTTCCACAAATTACAATATGTGGAAGCCTCGGATGGAGGATTTGCTAAATTTGAGGGATTTAGCTGATCCTCTTGATAATAATGGCGTCAAACTGGATAAAAAGACAGATGAAGAATGGACAAAAATGAATCGAGAAATTGTCGCACAAATACAACAGTGGATCAATCATAGTGTGTTCCACCATGTTGCTCAAGAACAAAGTACTTACACACTATGGGAGAAGCTTGGTAGCACACTAGCATGTATCAAGCAAAAACCGCCCGAAATAAGACGTTACTAGTGAGGCAATTAGTAAACCACAAGTTACGAGGTGGTATGTGCTGAAAGTTTGTCCTTCTAACTGGTAGAGTGTTAGTAATAGTATGGACATTGTTTTTCAGGCTATGTCATTTATAACTTCCATTAATGAAGTTCAATTTAA